CCTAAACCCCTAAACTCGAAACCCCACCCTGCAGCAAAGCGCTAGGCAAGGAGAAGGCAGCAACATCCCTGGTGTTGGGAGGCCACGGTGCCAGGAGCCGAGCTTTCTTTGGGGCTTTAAACTTTAGAAGTTTTACTTAGGGGTACTTAGAAATAGTTTTTAATCTTTGGCTACTATAAACCCTAATAAGCAGCTAAAATTATAATGTTTGCTAAGGGTCTAAGTTGAGTATAGTTTACTAATTTTACCCATCATAGTAATAAGAAGTTGAGAATAATGATAATAGTTTTGATAATACCATGAGTAGTAATGTCTAAGTAAGACTACTTGACAGGAGCTGCATGTCTCCGCACATCTTCAGTTTGGGGGCTCCTTCGAGAGGTGATGTAGAGGTAGAGCTCCGGTGTTGCTCATGTGATCATGGGCCAATGACACCGTAGTAGCACGTGGGACACGGATGAAAACGACAAACGCATACATAAGTAAGTAAATAAACAAATAGACGACATGAATAAATAAAGAAATATGCGTGCGTATATGTATGATATATATATATATATAAATATAAATGCCTGCGATGCGGTATCAGTGCGCTGGCAACATGTGGGAGCCAAAAAAATATATTTATATTTTATAAATATGTATTTATATATCTATATATATATATATATATATATGTGTGTGTGTGTGTGTGTATGCATGCCCTGGTGGAGTCTACCAGCACTCCCTGCCACCGCTCAGGTCGCCCATGAGCCTCAGCAGCAGGAGTCGGAGAAGGCTTAGGGTACTGTAGGGGCCTAAATAAGTACCAATACTATGTTGGGGGTTCCTTATGTATAATGGACCCCAAGACCGTCCCTATATTACAGGACCTTGGGTCTCTGGTTGGAAACGGCTTTCAACGCTTGTGGTCTGTTGTGCAAGAGCGTGAGATGATGCGCGTTTGAAATTTCTCTAAGGTCAAGAGACGAAGTGTCAACTTTCTAGACTTTTCTAAAGCCGGGTGAGCGATCATGCCGGCAGATCGTGTTGTTTGTTTGAAATCTGAAGCCGTCTCAAACCCCCCACATCCCGATAAGTCTAAACCCTAAACATTTTCGAAACTTGCGCCTTAAACCACTTGCGCCCCAAATCCAATGTCGGACTTGCAGAGCAAGCTTCGAAGTCACAGCTTTGCAGACAATAACCTTGAGAGGTTGGATTCCTGTTCATTTTCGTCATCAGATTTAGGGCTTCGGGGTGAGTGCTGCTGGCACGTGGCCGCCGTGGCAACGACCATGGTTGTTAGTCGCATTTATAAGTGTAAACAGAGGTGGTGAGGGTGAAGGTGCACATCTTGTTAGAAACACGTTTCTCCTCACCATTCCTCATATACGTACATATGGATAGATAGATAGATATAGATAGATAGATAGATAGATAGATAGATATATATATATATATGTATATGTAGACGTATGTCTGTCTGTCTGTCTGTCTGTCTGTCTGTCTGTCTGTCTGTCTGTCTGTCTGTCTGTCTGTCTGTCTGTCTGTCTGTCTGTCTGTCTATATGTATGCATGCATGCATGCATGCATGCATGCATGCATGCATGCATGTATGTATGTATGTATGTATGTATGTATGTAGGTCTGTCTGTCTGTCTGTGTGTCTGTATGTCTGTCTGTATGTCTGTCTGTCTGTCTGTCTGTCTGTCTGTCTGTATGTATGTATGTTTGTATGTATTTGTGTATGAATGAATGAATGAATGAATGAATGAATGAATGATTGAATGAATGCATGTATGTATGTATGTATGTATAATCATGCATATCCACATACATATATATATATATAGATAGATCGATCGATATATGTATATATCTATACACGCACATATTATCTATATATGTACATATGTACCTACATATGCTCATGCGTGCATGCATGACAGTGGTGCCTTTAGTTGTGAAGGGATGTTGAACAGCTGGAAGTCCGTTTAGGTAATATCGCCAATACTTAACTTTCAGGAAACCGAATATATACGCAAGAAGCAAAGGCACACATACACCATGACTACATACGGATATCTGAGTCAAACTCCCAGGTGCCTCACCAGGTTTTTCTCAGCCCTTCCAATCCGTTCACAGCGAACTACTTGCCCCGATCTGGCATGTGGGCGCCTGCCGGCGCCTGAGGCGGGCTTGGAGGCGAGCGATGTGTCCCAGAGTTGTCCCGAACCAACCGGAACCGCTCTTTTTGTGCAGTAAGAAGCTTCAAGGTCGGGTATATCTCATGAACTTTTCTATGGGCTTCTTGACCACGTCCTGGGAAGCAATGGTTCTAATCAGCATCGCAAGCTATTTAGAATTGAAAGCCCAGTGTGCCATGGCCAGTGGGGACTGAAAGGAGTCTTACAAGCGCGTCACAAGCTCGGCCGCGCATACGCGGAGTATGGATCGGAGTATGGATATTTGTGTGCAGGTTCGGGCCTGCCGAACGGATAAAAGTCAAAACCGAGCTGCGCAGACAAGGTGCAAGAGGCGGTGAACAAGTACGGCTTCCCGGTGGTGGTGAAGCCCCTGAAAGGCTCCAGCCGTTTCTGAAAGACTTCCCGTAGACGTGTAACATTTCCGGGAGGTCCGCATAAGTTAGCATTGCAAAGAGTTATCTCCAAATAGGCCATACCTCTAGTTGCTGGAAACTTCAGATTCAGAGTGGTGTTATATCTCATGTGGGGACATGCGGCTTATTATTGAATCCCTGGACTCCATGTATGGCAAACGATTGAAGGGTCCGTTGCCAGGGCCGACCTGCCGAAGAGACAGAATTGCAATGCAGGCGCCCTAAAGACGCCAAGGATGAGGCCTACCTAAAGGGTGCAAGTACCAATATGGGCAGTTCTCTAAATTAGTGTTTTTCTTTTGAGGGTTCTTTCTACAAGGGTGCCGTACTATTCTGGGACCCCAAAACGGGACCCTACTTAGAGAACTACCCCACCGTAGTGGGCTCTTAGTGGATGTTTGGGCTCTTGGACCTTTTGACTTAGAGACTCAGACCCGGAAGCTTCGAAGGCCAACCAGATCCCGACCCCCACCTTACAACCACCAGAACCGACTTTAGGGTTCAGGGGTTTAGAGGTTTAGGGTTCAGGGGCTAGGGGTTTGGGGTTTAGGGTTTGTAGGGTTTTAGGGGTTTAGGGTT